TGAGGAGGGGGCTGTGGCTGTAGTTTGAAATGAAGGCAAGTTTTCCTGCTTGCCACAACAAAGTGAGATTCTCCCCAGGCTAAGGGAAACGTATTCAACAAAAGTGCTTTCCCAGAAGCACAGAAATCTCTCTTGTCTCCTTAGATGCTGGGCACCTGCCTCAACTGAAATCACAGAGGTGCTCTGTGAATGAAGAATGACAACTGAGCTCTTCTGGAGAAGCCATAAACGATACCAGGAAATGGAGGGCCCAGGGAAGGAGATCCCATGCATGGAGACACACGGCCTTTCCTGTAACACTGAATCACAATGCCACTGACGGAATGTGGGCATCACTCAGGGACCACAGCCACCTGGATTCAAAGCCTGGTGAAGAAATATCCCAGGAGAATGCAGAAGATTTGTCATTCTGACATCTAGAAGGAAAAGGGGTCAGCTAGACAGTAAAAGGCTGATGTTGTTGCCAACTGCACTCATGTTCTAACTGATAACATGCTCATGATCAAAGTGCCTTTCTTTATGGATTGAGTGGAACAGCTGACAATATTTTAAAGATTGGAAAAAGGGAGGTACGGGAAGCACCTCTGTTAGCAACAGCTAGAAAAATGACTAGTCTAGCCTCCCAGAGCCAATGCAGAAAAAAGACCCTGACTCAGGTAACAAGGGCATCACTCAGTGAGTGGTGCACTGTGAGTCACACACGGTGTCTTCCTCACAGGGTCCTATGAGGCTGGTCTTACTATCACCTCCAGTTTGCAGATGAGAAAATCAAGATGCTTACAAACTGCGGAGGCACTGACAGCGCTGTCTGACAAGAGCCGTCCATGTCACAGCGCTACCAAATTTCTGCCTCACTTGGAGAATCACGCAAAATACACAAATCTTACTGCTGACAAGGGAAACAGGACTGCAGTAAAGCCTGTGAGAGGCGGAATCTGTGTAAGGCAGAAACCTGTCAGAGAAATAACACAGATACTTACCACTGACAGAGGATAATGAAATAAAACTAGACCCTGTCACAAGCAGAAAACTTGCAAGACATAGGAAAACAAGATGTTCTTATCAGGTTCCAGCTTTAACAGGTTTTACTGTAACAGACTGTTACTTCTAAGTGGAAGAGGTTAAACATGAAATGTTGTTGTCAGGCACTGTTGAGTCAACTCCGACTCATAAAGACCCTATCAATAATCGATTGGAACCTTGTTCTACGCCTACAAGAAACAGACACTAGTAAAAGTTAAACACATAACCTGAATCAATAACAGTTTTGACATAAGGAGCAGACAGAGTCAAAGGAAAGTTTCGAATGAGATGAAAGGAAGATCACATTGAGATGCAATGCCCATTTTCCCTTTAAGACCTCTCTCAGATCACAGAACAGACCAATCTGTTCATGAGAAAACTATAAATGTCCACTTGATCACGGATGTCAGGAATACAAATGGTTAATAAACTTAGTCACTTACTGAAAGGCAGACGTTTTGAATCCACCCAGAGATGCCCTGGAAGAAATTGCTGGTGATTTGCTTATAAAAGAGTTAGGTAATGAGAATTCCATAGAGCTTGACTTGAATCTGACACACATGGGGCCACCATGAGTTAGAACCGATGGATGGTAACTGGTTGCCAGATGCGGCAACGTCCTAGGAATGAAAGCTCCCCTATGTCTATTCTGGCTCTGACACAAGTCCTCCCTGCACCTGCCGGGCTGGTTCTGCCCCTCCTGGGAAGACACCATGGCTCAGCTATAGAAACTACTCCATAGAAAACACTGACATTAGAATGGCACACTGATTTTATACGAGAGGCGTGACAAGGGCTCTTACTCTACAGAGTTCTCATCAGGAATTTCTTGACACAGAACTGATGGAGTCACTGAGGAGGAGGGGCACTCACTATGGCCTGGTAAAGGGAGACAAGGTCATCATGTGAAAAAGCAAAGAGAACCTTTCTAGATTATAATAGAGCTACAGTGAAGATAAAAGTATCATAGGGTCAAAAATGATGACAATTCCAGCAGGAGAACCATGAAACTCAACAGGGTGATCGCTGCATTTTCTTCTTTTGTATTTTACTTGGTATAAAATGATGCTTATCAGTGAACAGTGGAGGCACTTAAAGCTGATCCAAGTGTCTATTTTTTAATCCAGCTAGATGGGAAGAATTAGGGAAAGAAGGAAAAAGATGGGACATTTTTATGAGTAGGCAGTTTTACCTTAAATCAATCTATAAAACGTAACACAAGAAGGCAGTAAAGAGTGGCTGACATATCAAACATAAAAATGATAAAATAACCAGGAGTCAAGAAGAACAGAATGTAGGTGGAATAGACTTCACAAAGGAAGTAGTGCCCTGTCTCCCGTCCTACCACCGCCAAAGAATAGTCCACTGGGGCTCAAGCTGAGTAAATAGAACCTGTATGAATTTACGGGACCTAAAGGTGTCAAGAGAAGAGGCTTAGTTCTTCTGTAGCTGTAGTTGTTATTAGGTACCACTGAATCAGAATTCACGCTCATAGCTGACCCTTCAGCAGGTTTTCAGAGGCAGTAAATTGCACCGGAAGACACTGCTCTCAACTTTCTCCTGTGGTACAGGTGGTGGATTTGAACCACATGCCTTTGGGTTGGTAATGAAAAGGAAGCTACCAGAGCTCCCTTAGTTCTGTGGTTGAAAAGCAAATCTCAAGTCTAAGCTTACAGCACAGTGCTGTGTATCCTGAATATCACACCACCTTTGAATATCACTGTGCAAGGGACAGTGTTGCTGCTGTTGTTTTTGTTGTTGTTGTTGTTATGTACCTTCAAGTCACCTGCGACTCATAGTGACCCTATGTACAACAGCCCTAAATTATGCCCTATTCTGTGCCAATCTCACTGTCTTTGACACACCTACCCTCATTATGCTAGTTACTAAACCAATCCACCTCACAGAGGGTCTTCTTCTCCTGCGCTGTCCCTCCACCCTCCCAAGCATGATGTCCTTCTCCAAGGACTGGTCCCTCCTTGTAACTTGTCCAAAGTATGTCAGACAAAGCTTCAGAATCCTTGCCTCCAAAGAGGAGCTTGGTTTAATCCTCTCTAGAATGAACCTGTTCATTTTCTTAGCAGTTCATGGTATATTCAATACTCTTCTCAAACACCACAGCTCAAAGTCATCAATTCTTCTTCTATCCTCCCTAGTCATTGTCCAGCTCTCTGACACATAGCAAGTAATTGCAAAGACCATGGCCTGTATCAGGCGCACCTTAGTCTCCAGAGTGACACTATTGCTCTTGAGTACTTTAGAGAGGTCCCTAACAGCAGACATTCCCATCGCAATCTGTTGTTTTTAGTCAACTACAACTCTGAGTCACCCTATGAATGACAGGTCATAATCTTGCCCTGTTCTCCTCAAACTTCAGTATCTCCTCCACAAGCAAGCCTACTGTTGCAGTTCAGTTACTATGTCAGCTCATCTTGTTGAGGGTCTTCCTCTCTCTCTTAATGACTTTCTACCTTTCCCAGTGGGATGTCTTTTTCCAAAGACTGCCCCTCCTGACAACAAGCTCAAAGTAAGTGAGACTGAGTTCCACCATCCTTGCTCCCTCTTTGTCCTTTCTTCCTCCAAGACAGATTTGTCTTGCTAAGAATCAGATACTGTAATAAATACTTTTCATTCACTTCCTGGTAATAACTCTGTGAATCAAACACAGTGTACCTTTGTACAATGCAGGGTGTGAACTGCACACACTCTCTTAAACATAGATTATTTTCACTCTGTCTCACCAGAGATGATTCCTATCACATGGCACGAGAAGATAATCTCAACACTACTCAAGAACAGCAAGAGAAAACATAAAATCCTTGCGTAAGAGGTCTGTACAGTTCAAACCCGTGCTATTTGTAAATTATATGTGATTTCCAAATTCACAGGAGGCTGATGTCCTTAGGCCCCTTGTTGTTTAAGGGCCACTGTCTCCCTTTTACAAGTAAGAACACTGAGACAGAGAGATGCTTTACCCATGGAGTAAAGAGCAGTGAGTGGAACTTCACAGGCTGGTTCTGCACCCCAAGATCCTAATGACTTTGTTGTTTGCCTAGAAAGCAAAGCTGGCTGGTACATAAGGGATCATTCACGACTTCTGTTCTTCTTGTTCAGGCAAATTTTATGCTAGTGTGTTAGAAAAGACATTTTTATATGAGTCCTATTCATCTTCAATTAGAATAGTCTAAATGGAACAATTCTCAGAGGGCTTACTAAAAGGATGATGGTTCAAATATATCAGACACTCCACAGGAGAAAGACTTACAGCCTTGAACATGCCAGGGTGGTTCTATTTTCTCCTATAGGGCTCTTGGGAGTAGTAATTGACTGGACGGCAGTGAGGGGAGGTTTCACTTTCAGCATACCTTTGCTTTTCCAATCAATTCAAAGCCATTGCTGTGGGATTAGAACCGACTCACCTGATACTCTAGTGGTTTTACTGGGATGTAAATCACAGAGGAGGAGACTGCCCATCTTTCCCCAAAGAACAGCTTATGGCTTTAAATCTAATTCTTTTGGATTCTTTACTTACCAGGCTACCAGAACTACCTTATTTAGCTGTATGAAAGTCAAAGCATGGAGCGCTGAGGACTGACCAAGTCAGCCCTGAGTTTCTAGTCTTTTTTTCTGCCACTAGAATATGAATTTGGACCAGTCATTTTGAGCTCCATCAAGCTTGATCTTGATGAAGGCCACAATGAATGGTGCAATGCAGTGACCTAGACAAGAATTTTCAATGAAGTAGTAACAGAAATGAGTTAAACATTTCCAAGAAGGTGTGTTAAGCTATCAGCTAATTGGTCATCTTCTATTTCAATCTGCTATTCATAGGGTTGCTTTGAGTTGCCAACTGAACAGCACTTAACAACAACAGCGTTTCCACGTATTACTCATGCGTATGTAGTAGTTCTCGTTCTCACTTTGTACTTTAAAATGAAAGATAAAGAAACCGCAACAGATCTGGAACTGTCACATACTATTTTCTTGTCGTAGGACTCTCCACTGCTATAGGTTGTGGCCAATGTAGACGAACACTCTTCCAGGTACCAAGGCTTCTTCCCACTTTCAGCAGTGCTACTGATGGAGATGGTATAGATGCTGTTGGTGTACCCATCACAGGAACAGTGGTCTTTGCTCCGTCCCCCGTTTCCTGATGCCCAAACAAAAACGGAGCCAAGGCCTCGCCGACCCTGTTGACAAATAGGAAAATTTAAATGACGGTGTGAACATATGAGGGTCACAGACTGGAGATGAAGAAAAGATGAAAGCCAACTGGGCAGAACTGTGTATTTGCAGGACAAGTGTAATATATATACACACACATATATTGTTATGTACTATCGTGGTGGAACTAATCAATAGCTGACCCTCCTGTGGATTTCAGAGGCAATTTACTGCCTAAGAGGAGACTGCTCAAATTTATCCAGAAGAGCAGCTGGTAGATCTGAACTATGTGCCTTTGGGCTGGCAGCACAACTGCTTACCAGTAAGTCACCCGGGCTGACTATACATATGCACACATACAGAGAAGCACAGTGGCCAAGTGGCAAGAAGCTGCACTGTAATCCCAAAGGCACATGGTTTGAGACCACCAGCTGCTCCACAAGAGAAAGATGGGCAGTCTCCACCCCTGTGATTAACTGCCTTTGAAAATCTGCCAGAGGGTCAACTATGAGTTGGTTTCGACTCAATGGTACACAACAACAAGACTTTTCTTTTTATACTGTCCTTCAATGGTCATATTTTTTTTTTTAAAAAAAAAAAGCCAAAACCAAGCACATTTATTACTCTTACAGGGAAAAGAACAGAACCTGTTCTCAAGAAATAGTTACTTTTACTTTAAAAAAAACACACAAAAACCCACAAAAGCAACAATAACAAACAAAACAAGCCCCAAACCCAAAACCAAACAAATGTGCTTTAGAAGTCCTGCTGTGTACTGAAAACAATTAACATTTACAGAATTTTACCATGAGCCAAGCACTATACAAGCATTACTCCATACAATCCAAGTTTATATTATCATCATTTTACAGATGAGCAAAGTAAGCCTCAGACACACTGATGCCAGGAGGAGGCCTGGAAACCTTACTGAAGCCAATGTCTGAACTCTAACCTTCACTAGCTTTCTTTTGGTAAAAGGTGGCTAGCAGTGGCTGTATTGTTTTCAGCCAAAATTCCTGTGTCTTCAGCCAAAATTCCTGTGTCTTCACTGAAGCCTGGTACCAAAATCTAAACACAGGCAAGCCACCTAGCTCTCTCCAGGCGCAGAAATAGAACTGGAGCTGGTGGTGAAGGAAGAATCATGAATACCTTCTCTAGAACATTCCTTTGCTAGGTCAAGGGGTTTATCATAGGTTCTGACTCAAAACATTCCTTAGAACACTTACCATTAAGGGACTCCCTTAAAAGTATGACCACAAGTCTCTCTATTTCACCAGCATCCAGGAGAAGACACAAGTTGTTGTTGAAGGGTCCTTCAAAGTTTGAGTGAGTTGAAAGAGCAGTGGTTTACCACCAGCCTGAAAATATCCTTCCTACCCAGGGGCCATATTTGTGCCTCAAGCAAGGTCTCAAGGGCAAACAGATGATTTAAGGAAAATTAAGGGGACTATTATACAAGCAGGCAGCTTGAAGAAACAAAGGGCAACATGGCATCAGATACCATGCCCAGGGCTGAAGGGAACTAACTGGCAAAAGGGAAAGTCACTGGACCTGGACAGAGAGGGACTGAGAAATGGTCTGGACATATCATGTCATGCTGTCCTCTAGGGGTACCCAAGAAAAAACCCATGGGGATCTCCTCTCCCCCTCTCCGTTTCACCTCTAGCCAATGTGTGACCACTGACCATGTCCCACCAGAAGCCAGTAATCCTGGGAGCCCTAAAGTTATAGATCAGGTCATGTAGCCTGGAGCACAAGCTTTGTGGAAAGAAGATGAGAGTCAAGTGGAAGCATCACATTTAGCCTCTTAGGTGAGAGGATAAGAGAAAAGGGTTATCTACCGTTCTCCATGGAAGCTACAAAATGGACAGAGGCTGCCATCATCCCAACCATGAGGCAATCAGAGCTTAATGAGTGTGTGTATATTTTACGATTAAAGTCCCAGAAATAAACAGACTGAATCTGTAGGCTGAAAAATGCCATAGACAGATGCTAAAGATCCATGGGGTTAATCTGAAACAATTAGCAATTCAAAGATTTATTTACTGCAGATGCACAGGGGGTTTTCATTAGCATGCAATATTGAGAATCCAAAACATATGTGGGGGGAAAAATATCTGGACATTTCTCCAAAATTTGGAGTAATTTAGGAATTAAATTTTAATGTGAGGCAGAGGGAGAAGGGAAGTGAGGGCTGGAGAATATGCAAAGAGAGCGGAATTTGGAGTTGTATTTTCTAAAAGCGTGATAAATAATGACACTTATTAAAATGCAGAAATATGGAGGTTGCAATTTCTTATTTAAGTAGGGCTTTAGTTGAGGAAAGGGGGGAAAAACACCCTCCAACTTAATTGAGTGCTAAGTTAAACTTAAGGAGAAATGTATTATGAATTTCACACAGGACTTATGAGAACAAACTACTCTCTTTCACTGTACAAATGAATGTGCATGCATTTCTTCCTAAAACATATGCCCTACAGCAGTCGATTTATAATATCCCACAAACACTGTGATTAGAGGACAGCAAGGAACTGGGTTTTTCTGTGGTTCAGGAGGTCAGAAAAGGCTACTAGATTACAACAATTTAAATCAATCACACATAATCAAGCCAGGTATAGAGACCTGTAGACTGTGGTGCACTTTAATTTCGTTCTATAAAATGTTACGGCAATTTTGATGTCCCTAAAGTTAGATTTTATTTTGGTATTTTAATATTCTTTTCTTCTGTAGTATTCTATGTTGTTAGGTGCTGTCAAGTTGACTACGATTCACAGTCACCCTATGAACAACAGATCAGAACACATCCTCCCTTGCGCCATCCTCCCAATATCAACCAAGCTCATCTCCTTGAATGCCTGCTTCTATATCACTGACCTTTGCCAGCATGATGTCTTTCCCCAAAGACTGGTTGCTCGTGACAACATGTGCGATCAGATTTTACCATCCTTGCCTCTAAGGAGCCTGCATTTCTTCCAAGCTCTACTCTAAAGCTCTATTCTATGCACACACATACTATACGCACAACTAATCGCAAGTTTGTGGGGTGATGTGCTTCTTCTGGGCTTGGGTTTGATGTGCAGTACTGCTCTTCCCCCCAGGATCGAGGCCCTCGAGGCTTGGCCTCAGGTTTAAGGCAGGTGGTGGCTGAAAGCCCCAAAGGAGGAGGGAAGAGAAGGTGGCCATATCCTTCCTGGATGGCTCCACCCAGGGTTTCTGTGACTTCTTGCTGTCCAAGCTTGGCATGGTGCTCCTCGTGAACACGTGGTATAGCACTAATATGTCCATTTGCTGTACAGATGTAACTCATGGCTGATGTGATGCTGAACACTGTGACACTGATGTGCCACATGTGATAATGGTTACTCATGGCAGACAGTGTTTGGTGGAGCTTCCTGATTAAAACAAGCCTGGAAGCAGGAGTGGCATCCACTTCTGAAATGGCTTGCCTCTGGAATGTATGAGTGACAAGAGATTTCTTGCAATACAAAAGTAGGAATAAAGATAAGAAACTTCCTTGACAATAAGTAAACATCATGCTAGGCATATACCTATATATTAGTATAAACAGATATCTATCACAAGATAGATTTTATTAATAATCTTTGTAGATTGAAAACCTGAGTCTCCTATCATTAAGTAGTATGCCTAGTATTATATAATCTATGTGCAAACTCGACCTGGTCTGTGCAGAATTAGTTAGGTATTGACACCAATCCCAAAAACCAAACCAAGAGTCATCAAGTGGTTGCCCACTCCAGGCCACCCTCATATTAAAATTTAATTCCTAAAGTTTCAGAGTAGAACTGTGTTCCATGGAGTTTTCTTTTTTTAAACAGAATCATTCAAATTCCTTTTTAAAAAATTAATTACTGTATTACCCAAATAAAAAGCACCTTTTTTTTTTGCTTTATTAGGTTTTGGTTTTGTCTTGTGTTTGGGTGGGGTTTTTTTGGTGGGGTGTTTTGGTTTTGGTGGTTTTTTTTTTGGATGGCTCATTTCAAAAGCAGATTACCAGACTTGGCTTCTGTAGAGACCATGACTGAATTTCTACTCTCTTGGTTAATACTGAGGCATGTTAATCATTTGCATCATTGTCATATCATGACTAAGAGGAGATGAAATGACACAATGAAACGATTTTAGGAGGGAGAGCTCTTCTGCATCTGTGATGCCAACCAAGCACAGTATGAATGCCTAAGTTGCCAAAGTCCCTCTCCTCTTCTTCCCTTCTCCCCGGGAAAACCCTCTCTGTAAGCTCCCACATACATTCACAGATAAGGGGCTTTGGACTAGGAGAGAGTGGAAAGACACAGGATACTAACTGGGTACCTGTGATAAGACAATACTGCTAAGCTCTTTACAGCTCAAGGGCATTCTGACCAGCATTTGCAAAATAAATCTTTGCCTTAAAGGATGGAATGAGGTGCATTGGAAGAAATTAGTTTGGTCTAGAAGCATAATATAAATGTAAACAAATCAACAAACACAATCCTTTTTTAAAAGGTATGTAGAGCTCACATGAACTGTCTCTTTCAGAATTCTAAAGTCTTTTATAAGCAGTATTTAGTGACTTTCACTTGATTTCTTGCTGGCTATGAAGAAGACTATGACATCAGGATTGGAGGAAGACTCATCAACAACCTGGGTCATGCAGATGACACAACCCTGAAACTGAGGACTTGACACCTTTGTCACAGAAGTTCAAGGACTGCAGTTTTCAATATGGATTACAGCTCAACATCAAGAAAACAAAGATTCTCACCACCAGACCATGATGGAGAAAAGACTGAGGTTGTTAACAATTTCATCTTACTCAGATCCACAATCAACACTCTTGGCACCAGCACTGAGGAAATAAAATTTGAGTTGCTTTAGGAAAGTCTGTTGTCAGGGACCTCTCCAGCGTGCTAAAGAGCAACAATGCCAGTGTAGAGACTAAAGTCTATCTGATACAGGCCATGGTTTTTCCACAATTACTTGTTATGCTTCAGAGAGCTGGACAATGACTAAAGATGACAGAAGAAGA